AACCCTAAAACCCTAAACCCAACAAGTGTTCGGACTCATCACTGCCGTGCTCGGCCTCGGGTCCCCGTTTCCGCCGATCAAGCAGATGCCAAATAAAACCTCGTGGAGACCCCTGGGGGTTTAGGGTTTAGGGTACCATACTTGAATACTTTTTTTGGGGGGGGGCTTGTTCCTTAAAGGAAACCCTAAACCCTAAACCCTGAACCCTAAATAAAGGTCTATACTTTTTTCCTCCTTGGTTACTTCAGAGTGGGGAACCTTCATCCTCGAGCCTAAGCCGCGTAAAACCTTGAAAACCCTCGGCCCCATAATCCTCCTTCCTAAGCCCCTCTCAAAACCTGATGTAGGGGCCTTAAGAATTAGAATAGGGTTTTTTGTGCAAAATATACTATAGCTAGATTAAGGAACCCCCAACATGGTATTGCTGATTATTTAGGCCCCTATATGAAGTGTCAAGCATCCTCAGCCCTTAACCCTGCACCCTCAACACTAAGCCCTAAACCCTAAACCCTAAACCCCAAACCCTAAACCCTAAACCCTAAACCCCTGAACCCCTGAACCCCTCAACCCTAAGACCGAAGCCCCTGATCGAATGTTTCAGCAGGACCTTCCGAAAACGCTTTGGCAGCTCACGCTTTGCTCTCTTGGACCGAGTGCCTAGGCTCAGCAGAATTTGGGGTTAAATAATTTTAGGGTTTGTCGAAGGGCTTTAGGAGGGACCCTTCAAAGGGACCCTGGTAGGTTATTGGGTTCATATTATGGAGACTACCTGGCTATATAAGGGGTATATAAGGACTATGCAATGGTTATTTGAGGGAATGGGATTAAGGGTCCCTATTCGGGGTCCCTCCTAAATGCCTTAAGGTTTCAGGGTTAGGTTTACGGTTTTAGCGTTTGGGTCTTTAGGGTTTAGGGTCTTGGTGTGTGTTCTTTGTGTGATTGTGTTTTTATTGACGTCCTCCACTAGGCCTTGCAGCACGAACACCTTCAACAACACTTACAACCCCCCGCCCCGCCCAAGCATGCCGAAAGCCTTTGAACGATGTCAGACACGAGGCAAAGTTAGGGCCCCTATGTTGGGGGATGAGGGTCTAGGGGTTTACGATGTAGCGTTGTAACCCGACATTACCGTGTAAAACCCGTATAGAACCCACATATGTAACCCCCCAAAACAACTAGGGCGTGGGGGGTTAGGGTTTAGGGGTTCAGGGTTTACAGTGCCCAGATGTGTAGTTCTCTAAATTAGGGTCCCTTTCTAGGTACCCCAAAAAGTACGGCACCCTTATAAAAAGGACCCTAAAAGGGACCCTATTTTAGGAAACTACCCAGATGACTGCATCTTCATCTTACCCTAAACCCTAAACCCCTAGATGACTGCATCTTCATCTTACCCCAAACCCTAAACCCTAAACCCTAAGCCCTCAGATGACTGCATCTTCATCAAGAATGGCTAAACCCTAAACCCTAAACCCTAAACCCTAAACCCTAAACCCTAAACCCTAAACCCTAAACCCGAACCCTAAACCCTAAACCCGAAACGACCCAGATGACTGCATCTTCATCAAGAATGGCAGCGTCTTTGCCACGGGCTGGCTGGCCGTGCAGTTGAAGCACCAGGTTGAGGTTGCTTGGCCCTGGCTTCTTATTTTAGAGTTTAGGGGTTTAGGGTTTAGGGTTTAGGGTGACTTGGCCCTGTCCTTCGGGCTTCTTATTTGGAGTTCAGGGGTTTAGTGTTTAGGGGTTCAAGGTTTAGGGGTTCAGGGTTCAGGGTTTAGGGGTACAGGGTTTAGGGGTTTTGTGTTTAGGGGTTCAGGGGTAAGCGGTTTAGGGTTTAGGGGTTCAGAGTTTAGGGGTTCAGGGATCAGGGTTTAGGGGTTTTGTGTTTAGGGGTTCAGGGTTTAGCGGTTTAGGGTTTAGGGGTTTAGGCGTGAGG